AATTCTTTTCATGATAAATATATGGTGCTGATACATAAATCAGGAAGGGCCAAGACAGAGAAAGAAAATAGTAGACCAACACCCTAATGAATATAGATCCAAAAATTTGAATAAAATATTAGCAAAGAGATTACAGCAAATAACAAAGAAGATAATACACTATGACAAGGTGGGATTTATATCAGGAATCTAGGGCTTTTATGGAGAATGGAAGAATTTATGATTGAACAAGATAAAGAGAACATTATAACATGCAAAAGGGATAGTTTTGATTACAATAAATTGAAAAGCTTTTGTACAAACAAAGCCAATGTAATCAAGATTAGAAGAGAGGCAAAAAGCTGGGAAACAATTATTACAACCAGTGTCTCTGAGAAAGGCTACATTTCTAAAATATATGGAGAAGTGAGTTAAATTTATAAGAATGCATGTCATTCCCCAATTGATAAATGGTCAAAGAAAATGAACAGGGATTTTTCACATGAAGAAATTAAAGCTATCTATAGTCATATGAAAAAATGCTCTAAATCACTATTGATTAGAGAAATGCAAATTAAAACAGCTCTGAAGTATCACATCTCACCTATCAGGGTAGCTAACATGACAAAACAGGAAAAGGATAAATGTGGGAGAAGATGTGGGAAAACTGAAACACTGATGCATTGCTGTTGGAGTTGTGAACTGATTCAACCATTGTGGAGGGCAATTTGGAACTATGCCCAAAGGGCTATAAAAATGTGCATATCCTTTGACCCAGCAATAGCACTTCTAGGGCTGTATCCCAAAGAGATCATACAAATGGGAAAAGGACCCACATATACAAAAATATTTATAACAGTTCTTTGTGTGGTGGCTAAGAATTAGAAATTGAGGGGATGCCCATCAATTGGGGAATGACTGGGCAAGTTGTGGTATATGAACGTAATGGAATACTATTGTGTTGTAAGAAAGGATGAACAGGCAGACTTCAGAAAAACCTGGAAAGACTTACATGAACTGATGCTGAGTACGGTAAGCAGAACCAGGAGAACATTGTACAGAGTAACAGCCACATTGTTAGATGACTAACTTTGGTAGACTTAGCTCTTCTCAGAAATGTAAGGATCTAAGACATCTCTAAAAGACTCATGATGAAAAATGCTGTCCACATCCAGAAAAAGAACTATGGAGTCTGAATGCAGATCCATGCATATTATTTGTGCTCTCTCTCTCTCTTTTTTTCTTCTTTCTTGTGGTTTCTCTCATTGGCTTTAATTCTTCTTTGCAACATGACTAATGTGAAAATATATTTAATATGAATGTACATGTAGAGCCTATATCAAATTGCATATCATCTTGGGGAGTGGGGAGGTTAGGGAGGGAGCGAAAATTTAGAAGTCAAAATCTTATGTGAGTGAATGTTGAAAACTAAAAATTAGTTAATTAATTTTTAAAAAGAATCCTGTGGCTAGATATATCATGAGCTTTGGGGCATTATCTAATTGCGATGCATTTCTACCAAAAGTGAGACAATTTGCCCCCCAGTCTTTGCTTGGTCAAGATTTCACCATTTGTCAAGAGAAGATATATTAAAACTGGATTGATTTGAAGATCTGTATAAAAACTAAATGCCACTTTATGTTTCCAGCCACTTTAATCCCATTTAAGTCATCATTCATTCATTCAACCCAAGCCAATCCATCCCCATCTGTTTATCTCTTTGTCTTCCCAGCATTTGCTGGAAATACAAAGGAACAAATTATTATTACCATTATCATTTCAAAATAAAAATGAACCAATTATATTTGTAACTAAGATGAGTATTTGGCAAAAAGGGCGAAATAACAGCAACAATTGAGGCAGTCATGGGGGAGAGGACAGAGAGCTGGCATAGGTATCAGAAAAGGATGAAGTCACTTTCTGCCCCTGACATAGACTGGCTCTGAGACTCCAGGCAAGTCATTTAATTTCTCATTGTTCCAGGCAACTCCAAGTCTGCTCATCGCAGGACAAGCTCTATAGGCTGAGGGAATTTCTTCACTAGGATTTCCTATAATAATGAAATCACAGATTTAATTCATCCATTTTCCCCTTCTTCAATCGAACAATATTACTGTTATAGAAAGGATACAAAAGATTAGTACATTCTCACTGAAGAGGAGGAAGAGAATTAGTATACAGTCTCTATCACATGAAATTGTGGAGACAACATGCAAACAATCATGAATGTATCAGACATATGCAGGATAAAATGGAAATAATCACAGTGAGAAGGCCTGAGATTGAAGGCATCAATGAAGATTAAATCACTGATTGAATTGATTTGTTTCCTTAAATTGGCTGAATGATCCTGAAAGCTTCTTTGAGGCTAATTATTTCATTTGGTGACAGGTTTGGTTATCTTCACTGCACTGATCTATGGATGGAAGTATTTCATTCAAATCTTGGTAGCCTTCTACCTATATTGTGTCTTGCTCTTAACGTGGATTGGGGTCACACTCAGTAAACCATTTTGTCTGCCTCATCATGTTCTTAACTTACTAAGCTTGAAGTCCATTAAAATGACAGCAGCTAATATTATGATGGTGTTTAAAGATTTGGAAACTGTCATTTTATCTAATACACCAACTAGCTGTTCCCTAATAAAAACATGGTCAATAACTATTTACTAAGCAACTACCATGTACATTGGGGTATCTGGATGCCTCAGTGGATAGAGGGCTGGGTCTGGAGTCAGGAAGACCTGAGAACAAATTCGGCCTCACTTACTTTGTGACCCAGGGCAAGTCATGTGACCACTTTTCACCTTAATCCATTGAGAAGGAAATAGCAAACTACTCCAGGATCCTTGTCAAGAAAACCTCATATACCATATGGTCTACAGGGCCACAAAGAAGTGGACGTAACTCAACAACAACCAGAAGAAGAACAATTACCATGTACCAGGCACTGTGCTAAGCAGTAGCAATATAAAAAGAACCAAAAGTCAACCCTGCCCTAAAGGAATTCACAACATAATGGAAGTGACCCCCTCCCAACATTTTTTTTCTTTCTTGTGGTTTTTCCTTTTGGTTCTAATATTTCTTGACATAAATAATGTGAAAATATGTTTAATATAATTGTACATTATGGCCTATATCAGATTGCATGCCATCTTGGGGAGGGGGCAGGAAGAAAATTTAAAACTTAAAATCTTGTAAAGGTGAATGTTGAAAACTATGAATAAATAAATAAATAAATATTTCAGAAAAAATACATGCATTTCTGAATTTTGTTGACCGAAATATAACTTTCCAGAGCCACAGGTAACTCACTAAATATAAATGAGTGGCTGCTTGGCATCAGTAGAAGATTTTTCCACCATGAGTTCCTTATTTCATTGAAATCACATGCCAGAGCAATGATTTGTCATTTTCCAATGAAGCCTGATTCTCTAAACACACACACACACACACACACACACACACACACACACACACACAACCAGAACCCAAAGCCATGTCCCAGTATCATTAGTCTACAGTGACCTCACAGTAACACTGGCCTGGGGAAGTGGCCCCAAAGAGGTATTCATGACTTTCTTAACTCAGACTCCTCTTTCTGAGAGCGCATTGTGATTGATCATGGAAAGGTATCTGCACAGAAGGTTGAAACCTGCTGTGTCCTTCTGCATTTTCCCATCAAGCACAGACCAGAAAAGCCCTGTTCTCCTTCAACACAAAGCTTCAAACCATGCCCAGACCATCAGTGCAAAGGAAGACAAGATTCAATGAAAAAATCAGGCACTGACAACTAGCAGAGCAGAAGGTAAGCAAGGCAATTCTGTGGCAAGTTGCAGGTTCACAGAAGGAGAAAACACAAAGCTCATCAAATCTTTGAAAAGTTAGAAGACAGATTTCACAAACAAGTTCATGAAGCCAAAGCTAGAAAGTACCTAAGAGATCATCTCCTCTAATTCCTTCATTTAGTCTTAATAGTTGGAATGTATGTGACCTTTTCAGCATTTTGTACATAATTTCTCATTTCATCTTCACAACAATCTAGGAGTTAGGCACTGTTATTATCCCCATTTTATAGATGAGGAAACTGAGGCTGACAAAGAGTTAGTGCTATGATTAGGACAACACAAGCCCTAAGTATCCAAAGCAGAATTTGAACTCAGGTCTTCCTGACTCCAAGTCTAGCATTCTATCCGTTCACTATGCCTCTTCCTCTCCGATGAGGACTGAGGTCTAGGAAGGTGAAGTACTTGGTCAAAATCACCCAAGTAATGAGGATCAGAGACACATTTTGAGTCTGGGTCCTCTGATTTTTGAGTCAGCATGCTTCCCAAAGTGGTCTCCTTAGAATAGACTTGGACCATCCATCCCTGATGCTCCTATTTGCTGTGACCCAGGGAAGAATCTTGGGTAGAAAACTATTTGGGGAATATAAATGACAAGAAAACTAGTTGCAATGCCCAATAACCCTAGTTGTGTCTATATAGCACACATGGACCCAGCCCATCTTATAAGTATCATTGATGACAAAGAATAATCTGACGGGACAATCAATCCACCCTGATTAGTGCAGAACTCTGCAAACTGCATTCTCTAATGACTTGGGAGGGAAGCCTCATTCATTTCATTTTCTTAAGGGAAAGAAGTCACATATCTCCACTATTGCTCACCCTCACCTGTTGTTACAGCCTGCATTTATTCAGTATCTTTTGAGCAGCATGGTATCCTGGAAAGGGCACTGGTCTCACTATCAGAAAGGCCTCTCTGGCCAGACTCCCTTGGAGGCTCAGTTTCCTCTTCCGTAAAATATGTGTTATAATGAGCAGGCTCCCTGACCCACAGAAAGGCTCTCAAGCCTAGGCCAACATTGTCTACAGATTTTAAGGATAGATAAAAAGATGAGAGAGATGCAAGGAGAGTCACAGACAAGAGGACAGGGAAAGTCCCTAGGAGCTGGGGACTGAATACCCAGGCTTGCTCAGCTATTTCCTAAGGTGAAAGCCCAGGCACCTCTTCACTTACTGGTGTGGATGACAGGCCTTGTGTGGATGCTCAGCTCCTGTAAAATTCTTCACTGCCATCAAGAATAGGGGGAAAAATCCAGTAATGACCAGGTCTCCATCTCTGTGAACTCGTGGGCGGATTTGGTCAAAGCAGGGGTACTTTTCTTCCCAGGCTAAAGAAGAAGGTATGTTGAGGAGGAAAAAGAGGGATATCAGAAGGGACATTGGAGCCTGTGTCCTGAGCAGTGTATCCAACTTTGAGCCTGTGAGCAGACAGGGTGTCTACAGCCACTACCTGAGTCACATTTTAATGGGAAAGTCTTTTTTTGTCTGATGGATGCCTTCCCTGGACAGATTCCCAGACACTGGTCTGTTTCTGGCACAGGAGCAAACACAGCAGATGTCCAGCTCCTGTCCAGGAGCTGAGCTGCAGGAACCAGGTACCATTTATAATCCTAGTAAAGATGGGAAGGGCTATGGTCCCTAGTTGGTGAAGGTGCATGTATCAAGAAGGAGCTCTAGGGAGCTTGACTGCCTGGGGCTCTGCACCTGCATCTCAGCCTCCAAGGGAAACCCAAAAGAAAAATATGTTTAGACATCATCTTCCTACTTCTCAGCAAATCCTCATGGTAATCAGGCAGCCTGTTGCCGCAAGGACATTGGCTAACCTTTAGAAACTTGAGTGCAGCTGACATAGCAAAACTCCCAGGACTCAGAGAAGGGCATGAGTTGGATCAGAGGTGATCAGCCCCAATTCACTCTGAAGAGGGGAGAGTAAGCTGATGTCAGTGGCTGCCAGCCTCTTGCATCAGGCCCTAACATTCTATGAGTTGGGCAGCACTTGTTTTCCAAACTCAGGAACTGTAAAAACCCCTTTACAAGGCCTGTACATGAATATGCTGCTCACACTAGGCCCAAGCTCTCCCAACCTGCTGCCTTTGCCATATACTGACCTGAGTGGTGCTTGGTTGGCTTTGGCCATGCTGATAATTCTTTGGATCAATGTCCCTTTCTCTTATAGCATAGAAGATCATTGAGGTAATAGTCTTTCATTTGGGTCTTTTTATCCCCAGCACTTATGCCACTGTGTGGCATTAATAGACACTTAATCAATGCTTATTGATTGACCTACTCTAGGCAGTTTTTCCTAGTCCCCAGTCCCAACTTTCCCACTGGTAGGGTCTTCCTCTCTTAAAGTCCCTTCAATCTAATTATCTACTCTGTATAGACTTGACATTGACCTCGTTGTTCACATGTGTCCTTTATTAGAATGTGATCTCCTTAAAGGAAAGCATTGTGGTTGGGCTTTTCTTTACATGCCTTGGGCTTGGCTGGCACAGCGTAAGTACTATATTGGCACGTAGTAAGCTTGTACTTGTAGACTGTTTCCTTTTTGCCCTTGTATCCCCGGTGGCTATCCCAGTGCCTGGCAGATTGAATGATTATTGGGTTGGACCCAGTGAGTGCTGAGTTACCTTTTAACTCTAAAATTATGTGATTCTGTGATTTCCAGGAGCCACAATATAGGAAGGATAGTGATAAGCTAAATTGTCCAGATGACAGCTGTGATGCCCAAGGACTCTGAGTTGTTTTCTCATGATAATCAACTGCCCGACATAGACATGCTGAGCCTGGAGAGGAGTTGGGTGGACATGGCCACTCAATACAAGTATTTGATTCAGTTTAGTTTTCTTGAAAACAAACAGTTGTACTAGGACAAATGGATAGAAGGTGGACAGAAGCCAATGGAAACTTGATGGAAGGGAGGGAACCCTTAGTAACCATCATAATTATTCAAAATGGGTGTGGTCTGCTTCAGGTAGTAGTGGGTTCTTGCTCTTTGGAGCTGTCCCTGCAGATGCTGGACGAGCAGTATTAGGAAGAGTATAGAAGGAATTCTTGTCTTAGTCTAACTTTGACTAGATCATGTGTCCTAACTCTGAGAGATTCTGTAAAAACCAAGTCCTCAGCAAGATAAATTGTCTCTAGTCTCAGGTAGAATTCACAAATGAATCTGATTTACACATCCTTTCCAAGAAGTTTCCCCTTTTTCCTGCAGAGTAAATCTTACCATGATCAAAAAGCTCTAAGTTTAGCAAAATCTCATAGGCAAAGAGACTTCAGAAGGCAACCACAACATAGCCTTTTGAATATGAAAGACAACCTTTGACCAGAAGGACACTCTGCAAAGGTCTCCAAAGAGTAAAATTTCACATCTATAAAATAGTAGCATTTCTTATAGAATGGTTTCTCAAACTTCCAATGGGAGAAATAAGTATAACACCAACATAAAACAGCACCATAGATTTAAAACTTAGACCCAAAACAAAACATTTTACTAATGCAATGATATAAATCCAGTAGAATGCATTTCTTAATTTATCTTATGTAGAAAAGTCATTTTATCTACCAATTTTTGCATTCCATTGAGAGACCAGTATAAAGTAATGAAAAAGAAGACTTTTACTCTTTCTACTTTTACTTTTTTTAGCGTTAACTTTCTGAGGATGGAAGAGAATTTCTACAAGGTAACCACAAATTTTCAGACTTGGAAGTCTTCCTATTGTCCTGTCATCTGAATGAAATTGAAAGCTTCCTCAAACCTTTCTATAATATTCTCCTAAATTTTAGGCTTTCATTTTGGTCTATTCTAGATATATATGTATATGTATATATGTGTATGCATATATGTAGATATATATGTATAAATGACAACAATCAGAGCATTATTTTTCCAATTGAATTAAAATGGCTAGTTCTATATTCTTTCTTTGATCAAGACTGAAATTTCCAAGGTATATAGACATTTTGTCATCTGTAAAGTAAAACTTTACCAATTCTATTTCTGAAGAGCTTACAAATTCATAGTCTATTCCAATTCCTTGGGTTGACTTTGCTTCTAATTCACCTAGGCAATTAAGTTCTAAATCATTCACAACAAACACACCTAGGTGGGTAATAAGCTTAAGGCTTCAGACTCAGCTTCCTGTTTGGAAGATAGAATTTTTATACTTGTTTCACTTTTATTTAACAACTAAGTATTTTCTGTCTCTCTCCAGGGAAGAGAGTATGCTATTTCTGTGAAAATTTCACAGTCCTAGGTAACTGTAACCCTTAAAACCTTCTAGGATATTGCATTATGTTAAAAAAAAAATCCTCTTATATGTCTATTTGCCTTCCTAACTTGGCCAGAATTGGGAATTAAAAGATATTCTTGTTCAGTAGTGTTAGGCTCTTTGTGAGTCCCCATCTGGGGTTTCCTTTGCACAGAAAAGTGGAGTGATTTGCCGTTTCTTGTTCAGCTCATTTTACAGAGAGAAAACTGAAGCAAACAGGGCTAAGTTACTTGGCCAGGCTCACACTGCTCCTAAGTGACTGAGACCTAATCTGAACTCATGTCTTCCTTACTTGAGGCCTATTGCCCTATCTAATACACCACCTCACTGTTCCCTAATAAAAAATATAGTCAATAACTATTTATTAAGCAGCTACCACACATATTGGGGCATCTGAATGCCTCAGTGGATAGAATGCTGGGTCTAGAATCAGGAAGACTTGAGTTCAAATCCAGCCTCACTTACTATGTGACCCAGGGCAAGTCACATAACCACTTTTTGCCTTAATCCATTGAGAAGGAAATTGCAAACTACTCCAGTATCCTTGCCAAGAAAACCTCATACACCATACGGTCCATAGGGCCACAAAGAGTTAGACATAACTCAACAACGACCACCATGTCCCAGGCATTGTGCTAAGCAGTGGTGATACAAAAAGAACCAAAAGTCAGCCCTGCCCTCAAGGAGTTCACAATACAATGGAAGAGCTCACAGCTTTGAAATTTTTGATAGAAAAACTCCCCCTCTTTCCTGCTTGTTTGTTTTAATTCATTTTCTTCCCAAAGGTTTGGTCAAAAGGTCAGTAGAAATCCCTGTTTATTGGGAAGGAGAGTTTAGTGC